GCACTGGTTACAAAAGTGCTCTCCCAAAGCAGTTTCCTATCCAGGATAACTCCCAAATATTTCACTGATTCGGTCGGAACTAACTTTACTCCTACAAGAGTGGGTCCCACAATGGTGCCCACCTTGTATTTGCGAGTGAAGACAGTAAGACCGGTTTTTAGTGGATTTACCGCCAAACCCGTTCTCTGACACCACTCTTCTACAACTTCCAGTGCCCCCTGCATGAGCTCTAGAAACGTCTCCAGAAAAGGGCCTCGCACAAGTATTGCCTCGTCGTCCGCGTAGCCTTGTGCAGTGAAGTCTCTATCGTCCAGTGCCTTTAATAAACCATTTGCTACCAGGCACCATAAAAGTGGGGAAAGTACTCCGCCCTGCGAGCAGCCTCTTCCCACCCACTCACAGACTTTCGCAGTTCCCAGCGAAGTCATCACACGCCTCCCTAGCATGCCCCGGATCTACTCGACGAGTTTCATCGGGGCACCCCTTCTGGCGGCTTCCTCACACACTACCTCGTGCGGTGTGTTGTTAAAGGCGCCCTCTATGTCCAAGAAAGCACCCACTGCGTAGCCCTTCCTTTCCAGCTGCTTCTCAATAAACGCTACCGTCTAATGTAGAGCAGTCTCGGTGGAATAGCCCGAACGATACGCGTGCTGATTTTTGTGGAGAGAGTGACTCCACAGAGTTGTCTCCCTCAGATACGCGTCCACCAGCTTTTCCAATGTCTTAAGGAGAAACGATGTTAGGCTAATTGGCCTGAAATCCTTTGCCTTGGTGTAGCTCGTTCTTCTCACTTTCGGGATGAAAACTACCCTGACCAGTTTCCATGCGCTAGGTGTGTAGCTCATTGCGATAGAAGCCCTTAAAGTTTGGGTCAGTGGGCCCACGATCTGTTCCAGTCCCTCTTGTAGAAGCCGGAAAGACACCATCCGGTCCCGCTGACTTGTAGGGCTTAAAGGTGTTAATTGCCCACTTGACCTTCTCGGGCATGACAATCTTGGCCGCTATTCACCAGTCCGCTTGTCGGGTTCTTCTGAGTGAGCCCGGCTCCTTATATGCAAATAGCTCTCCCGGCTCCCTATGGAAGCCCGGAAAGCTCACTTCCAGTAGATGCTCCAGACATCGCTCTCCAGTCACCACCGTCCCATCAGGGAGTGCGATGGCTTCCAGAGTCGCATCCGGGTTCTTAGCGAGGATCCTGCAGATTCTTGCCGTTTCGGGCATTCCCTCTACTTCCTCGCAAAACGTTTTCCAGCTTTCCAGTTTCGCTCTAACCACAGAGTCTCTATATTCTTTCTGTGCCCTCCTAGAGTGCTCTCAGTCGGATTGGCGGCCCGTGTTCCTTGCTCTGTTCCAGGCCCTACGAGCCGCCACTCTGAGACCCTGCAATCCAGGGGTCCACCAGGAAGTTCCTCTACTATTTGTAACCGCCCTTTCGGGGCAGTTACTTTCGTAGCAGTTTACCAGAGACCTCTGCAAGTAGTCCACACAGGTCTCCAGTTCGTCCTCTGTCCTGTGCCTCTTAGGGAAGCCTTTGAGACTGTTGGCCAGGTCTTTCCTATAGGAGTCCTACTTGGTTTTCCTCGGATTCCTGAATTTGACCTCCTTCCCCCTAGCCTTAGCTATCCTGAAGGTGATCTGCTTATGGTCAGAGAGCGAGGGCTCCGTCGAGACCCTCCACTCCACTACATCCTGTATCAACTGCCTGGAACAGACAGTGATGTCGAGCACTTCTCTTCTCGCTATAGTGCAGAAGGTGGGCTCGTCTCCTGTGTTGAGGATCTCCAGATCCGTAGATGCTAGAAACTCCAACACTTTCCTCCTTTTTTTATTGGTGTCCGAGCTTTCTCACACGGTGTGATGCGCGTTAGCGTCACATCCCATAATCAGGGGAAGCCGTTTCTCCTGGCAGTATTCTGCCAGTTTTATCACCGGTGTAGGCGGCACCGCCTCCCCCTCGTCATGAGAGAAGTAGGCCGAGCAAATAACCATTTTCTTCCTGTCACCGGAGTCATCAGTGAAATTCACTTTTACAGCCGCAACGTCCCTGGAACACAGGTGAAGTATTAGCTGGGCTTCCATACCCTTGACGGCCACGCAGGCCCTGGGCCGATCCACTGATGGGGCCCTAAAGAGCCTACCGCAGGCAGCCAAGCCCCTGATGCAACCCCGGATTAACCAGGGTTCTTGCATCAGTGATATGCATGTTTGTCTCCCAGCTTGTTGCCTGGCCAAAACAGCCAAGGCCCCTTTGCTGTGATGCAGATTAATCTGGGTGAAGGCCACCCCTCTCGATCCCGCCATTTAACTACGAGATCGTTTTAGGAGGCTCCTCCTTATCCCCCCTTACCTCCCCCCCTTGGGCCCCGAAAGGCAACTTACCCAAAAGGCAATCTTGTCGAGCCCAAAAAATGGTCTGAAGTTCAGTGTCTTCAATTTGAGGACACTGGACCCCGGGACACCGAGGACTAGGTTCCCACCCTCCCTGGTGGCCCCTACCCCCTCCGCAAACACTTTCCAGCTCCCGGTTATGAGACCTGGGTTCTATTTCTCCAGCCGCTTCAGGACCGTGGCCGCGCCCTCGGGAGGTCCCTGGACCCAAACTACCGCCCTGTGCTGCTTTTGAAGCGCGTCCATGCCCATCACCTTGAGCCTGGCGTCCTTCCACGGAATGATGCCGCCGATCCGCCCCACGAGCCAACCCAGCGACGCCTCATCCGCGCATCTTACCACCGCCGCACCACTCCTTAGAGAGGTGCCGTGGAATCTGGGCACCGGACTCTCCTGGATCCCGTCGATCTCTTTCGAGACCGCACCCCTCAACAGAGTCAACTGCTCAGCAGTGATCTCTGTCTCGGGGTAGCCCTCCGCCACAATCACCCTCGCCAGAGGGTCAGCAGCGTCCGAGTAGGCATGTTGCCCGTCGTGAGCCCTTTGCCTCTTCAGCGGACGGCCGCCCGATGGAGGGGTTTCCTTGGAGCCCCTCCGACGTTTACCATCGGTGTAACCCTTCACCACCTCTGCCAGCGTACAAGGGGGAGCCACGGGAAGAGAGCAAGCCCCTTAAAGAGCCGCTGCTCTCATCCGCTTCGCCTTCCTTCTTTCAGCCCCGCACCGATTCTTCTTCGCTGGAGGTGAAGCCTCCTGCCGCGCAGCCGGGCCGGCCTCACTTCCGGAGCCCTTAAGGGTCCCGTCCGTTACCACCGTCCCAGCTCCTTCCCTCGGAGACCCGTCACGCGAGCCCTCCCAATTTTCCACTTCGTTCTCTAAGTTTAATTTTAAGTTTAAATCCATAGTGGTCCCACGAGTAGCTAGGGAACTACACGGTCCGCCCACGCAGAGCCCCGCATGCGTGGGTAAGGCTGGATACTCTGGGGTTTTGCCCGGTTCCCCAGAGGCATCGTTCGCGACACTGCTCCCCCAGTGACATGCAGCCATCGCCACGATGGCTTACAACTTGGCTTGGGGAGCTGGTCCGCGGCAACGGTCTTTTCTTACCCTCCACAGGGTTTTACTTCCGTGGGGCCAGGTTATAACCGCCACTACCCAGCAGCACTGAGTCCCCTCAGAGAACTCACACCTACTGGGCGTCCTCCTATCCGCCACCTTGGAGACGCGCCCGGTGGGTAGCTCAACCCCTGGGTATCAAATCCAAATATCCGATTAAAATGTTAAGCCATCATCAAAAATTTCGTTCTTATTCATTTAATTATACCTCGTTCGTCACTCCTCACCCTTTCCTCTCAAATTGTGCACGAAGGTTCCGTCCCAGGAAAAAGGGATTCAATTCCTTGACCCAAAAGGGAACCAGCGAGCGGTTGACCTGTCGACGGAGTAAAAACGACTCGTCCAATCGCTGACCCGTCGCTAGTCCTAAACGTACCGCTCGGCTCGTGCGATCAGGCCCGCTTACATTGATTGCCGAGTCCAAAAAAAAATCTTCTATCAGGACGTAACAATATCTTTTATTATATCTTTTACTATATTATTATATGTTATATTATTTCTTGTAGATTTTTTATATTATCTTTTATTATACATCACGCACACGCGCACACACACTTTGTATTACAAAAAGAAACATAAATAAATTTTGTATTAAATTATATATTATTACAATTTATTTTTCTTCCTCTCATCCTGAAAATACATATTATGCTTAGATTTATTTAAATTAGAGTCATTATTATAATTTTATTATATATTTCTCATATTGATTAATTTTGTAAGTAAAATTTATATGTTTTCTCATATTATATTATACATCTTATGTTTAACTGGTAATTGTACCACTCGCTGATTACCGTCTGATAAATGTGACCAACGGGTGCTTCTTCTTTTTCTTCAGGATATTTCATTATCGCCGCTAATTGTAATGGTGTAGCTATTTCAAATCGATCGTCAAATTCCAGATCGTACATGGCAATGTAGAAATCATATAGAGTGGTACATCAAGATAATAGTTACTCGTAATTGAAACGATCTTCTACAAACGATTCCTCCAGGTCACGAATGACTCGGTGGAAGCGCGAGGTCCCTGAAATGTGGTACAGATTTTATGTTTTTGTTTAGCTTTGCGTGCAAGCTTGGTGAGACTTTTCGGCTGATGCTTGTTCATGGAAAACCTAAAACAATTTGTAAACTTGTAACGGTGCAGCCCGCAAGCTGCATCGTTACGGCTACGGACCGTCTATCGTCCGTAGCCCACCAAGGGCGCATCGAGCGCCGATAAATTTCTTATCAAAACAACGGCGGTCAACCGCCGAAAATCCCCCACACCCGTTCCGAAATTCCGTTTTGTGGGGGACTCGCCGCCGAAACCGCCGATGCTTGCCGATTCAAAACCATTCGGCTTCCAGCCGGGTATAAAAGAGGCCCGGCTGTACGTCTTCTCACCAGACTCCGTTCGCTGATAGACAGCGAACATCCCTCTACGAGTGTCCTCGTAGTCCAAACCGAGTATACTCGGATTTTATACCTGTTCCAGCACACGAGTATCCTCGTGTACCGCCGAGCGTCCTCGGTATTCTTGACTCCCGCATACGAGAATATTCGTATACCCGCCAAGCGTACTTGGTTCCTCTAGGCCACCGAACTTCGTATTGCGGACATTCCCGCATACCTAGCTAAGTCGCCGTTCTAAAATTCCGCCTTCGTACGAGCGTCCTCGTACTCCCGCCGAACGTAATCGGCAACCTAAGTCCTTATATATCGCGTTTATTCGCCGGGATTTCAAAACCGTAATTCGTCCGACAGGCAAAACCGCGTCGACCAATCCGCGCCGCCGAATAGTCCGCATCGATCTACGATCGAACAGACTCGCGATACTACGAACGCACTCACCGACAAGCGCTCCGTTTTGTACCAATCGTTGCGACACGATCGCCCGCGCTTGCGCTCTCGACCGCACCAGGACGCCTCACGTCATACT